TAAACTAAACACTTTATTTATGAATTTTTTCCCCGGACATACCAACACCCTATGGTTATTCTATTTTGGGTCTTCATTATGGGCTATGCATAATCATTGCATAACTAGGCCCAGATAAAGCATTCCAGCTTCTTGGATGCTTCTATTTCTCCTTGATCCGTTTCTTCTGTCTTGACTGCTACAATTACTAAACTCGGGCAGATTCATGAAGGAAAGAGAAAGCTGGTTGAAACTGGGTTCCTTTCCACTCACAAAAAACTTGGCTGCAACTTTTCTACAACTATACTTGAAATTACCAATGGACAAAGCTTACACTAGCAATCAAGCAAGAGAAGTGGAAATCACAGTTATTATACGTGGCTATTCTTTGAAATGACATCATAAATTTGATGGCTCTAAGAAGGTAATTTTCAGAATATGCTCAGTAGCCTCGAATAGCCTGGACTGTGAATTTATTTGATGATCGTTAACTGTCGAGAAATGATCAGAAGCTAATACCTTCTTTATCAATTATTATGAAAGCTAATTTGGCTTCAATTGGACTTTTGGTTACTACATCGTGCTGGGATTTCAATATTATGGAAGCTAATGTCAACCAAAATTTTTGAGACTATCGAATTCTTTTATTCACATTCTAGTAGATTCATTCAGTTGTCTGCAATGACAAAATGTGAAAGATGTGTGAAATGTGTTGCTATAATTCTTGATGGTGTCGTGGATGGGTTAAAAATCTAAGTCATTTCAAAGGAATTGTTTTTGCAAGTGCACACAAAGTGTTGATAAAATGCTTAAGCTATATTTTAATATTGTTCAAAGGCTCCATTGATCATCTTAATTGCTCAAGGTGAGCTTTAGCAAATGGTTTTCTTATTATCTAAGGCGAGCCTTAGCTCTTGATTTTCTTATTATTGAAGGCGAGTCCTAACTCATGGTTTTCTTATTATCGAAGTCGAGTCCTAACTCGTGGTTTTCTTATTATCGAAGGAGAGTCCTTTCTTATTATCGAAGGCAAGTCCTAGCTCGTGATTTTCTTATTATCGAAGACGAGCCCTAACTCATGATTTTCTTATTATTGAAGGGGAGGCTTAACTTGTGGTTTTCTTATTATCGAAGGCGAGTCCTAGCTCGTGGTTTTCTTATTTTGGAAGATGAGCCCTAACTCATGATTTTCTTATTGTTGAATGGGAACCTTAGTTCGTGGTTTTCTTACTATCGAAGGCGAGCCATAGCTCGTAGTTTTCATATTATTGAAGGCGGGCCCAGCTCTTATTATTGAAAGCGAGCCCTGGCTTGTGAATTTCTCATTATTGAAGGCGAGCACTAACTCGTTGTTTTCTCATTATTGAAGGCGAGCCTTAACTCGTTGTTTTCTCATTATCGAAGGCGAGCCCTAACTCGTTGATTTCTCATTATCGAATGCGAGCCCGCCCTTGTTTTTTCATTATCGAAAGCGAGCCCTAACTCGTTGTTTTCTCATTATCGAAAGCGAGCCCCAGGTCATGGATTTCTTATTATCCGATGCTAAAGCATTGCCCACAAGCAAGCACTCGAAGCCTTGCCTCGTGCAAGCACCTTAAAGCCTTGCCCATGAGCAAACACTTAAAACCTTTCCCCATGCAAGCACCTCAAAGACTTGCCGATAAGCAAGCACTTGAAGTCTTGCTCACGAGTAATCACTTGAAGCCTTGCCCCGTGCAAGCACCTCGAGGCCTTGCTCATGAGTAAGCACCTTAAAGCCTTGTCCACAAGCAAGCACTTAAAGACTTGCATCGTGCAAGCACCTCAAATCCTTTCCCACAAGCAAGCACTCAAAGCCTTGCCCCATGTAAGTACCTTAAAGACTTTCCCACGAGCAAGCACCTAAAGTCGTGCCCCCGAGCAAGCACTAAAAGCCTTACCCCGTGCAAGCACCTCAAAGTCTTGTCCACGAGCAAGTACTAAAAGCCTTGCCCCATGCAAGAACCTCAAAGCCTTGCCTATAAGCAAACACCCAAAGCCTTGTCCACGAGCAAGCAAGCACTTAAAGTCTTGTCCTATGCAAGCACATCAAACCTTTATCCCGTGCAAGCATCCTTACAAATACTTCGTACTTTAATCCTAAAAATCATCAAGCAAAAGGATCGACCTTATAAACCTAAAGCTTTCTCTCCAAGATCTATGTGCTCGGGGGCCTATCAATACTTCCTTCACTCGACTTGAAGCAGTCAACACTCAACCCGAGCAATCTATATATCATCTTCGAGCCTCGAACATTCTAAGCAACATTCTCAAGTCCCGAACATGGATGCACGGGTGCCAATGATATGGTCATTTTCTATCAACCCCGAATAACAATGCCTGAGGTTGTTTTAGGTTATCTTGAGAGTTTGCTCAATGTGTTCTCCTTAAGTTCCTTTGTCGGCCTTTATTGCCTCACGTGATGATTCCACGTCACCTTGGATTTTTATCTATCTCATTCTCTATTTCAAAAGACATACCTTAGTAGGACTCTACTTCCATCATCGCACTTATCTAACTCCAATAAGATTGGATCCTAACTAGCTTGCAACTCCTCATATTAAAATATTCAAGTCTTTTGCATCTCTTAAATAGATAAGGCTTCAAGTATCAGAATCTTATAAAGAGTATGCTACTTACTTTTATGAATACATGTCCTAGTGCATTCTTTAGCTATGTTTTTACATTCAATTTATAGTCTTACACTTGTATTTCCCATTTTGCTAATTTAAGCATCAGAGGGGCGACGATGGCGCACTTCGACGCCTTTGTTTCAGGTGCTGGAGATTTGGTTCATGATCATCCTCAATCTTCAAGCTCGAAAATCGACGATGATGATTTTTGGTAATATCAGCGCTATTGACTGGCATGTTAGAGCCGACCAACAAATGGTATGCGATAGCCAAAATTTATGGGATAAAAATGTGCCAGACATTTTGTCTTCAGCATTCATTTAATGCTATTTCAGCAAATGCCGACGAATTTGTACAGCCCCTATGACAACTTTCACCTGGAGAACTCCCATGTTTTAACCGCTTTACTACGCAGGTTTCACGAAGCTAAAGTAAATCACATAGCGGGAGTGGGAAGCTATTGTGCGAGTTTCTACATGTGGACGATTTACCAGATACTGTGGTGCTTTTGATGGAGAACTATAGTGGGTTGGATGATGTGAATGTGAGGAGGGAAGGAGGTGAGCATAAAAGAGCTCACGAAATTGGTGAAGGATGTGGTTGAATATAAATGAGAGATTTTTTAGGACTCGAGTAAGCCTGATGGCAGGCCAAAGAAGCTCATGGATAACTCGAAGCTTGCTGCAATAGGGTGGGAGGCCAAGATCTATCTTAAGGAAGGACTCAAAGATACCTATAAATGGTACTTGGAAAATGCTGTCAACTAGCAATAATACAGGTGATTGTTGCAATTTAGTGTTCTTCCTAATCTATAGTTTTTGTTCACTTCATTGATTATAGAATTTTTATATGTTGGATTTGAGTTATAGATGATCATTAGCCATGTGGTGAGACCATTTGAGCATCGGTTAATTTGTTGTACAATGGTGTTGGAGAATCATTGTTTTCATATTTCTTATTTAATGATATATTATGTTCTGAAGGAATTATAATGAGACATGGCATTGGCTATTCTCTAAATCTCTCTTTAGTGTGACTTATCAAATTGCAAGTTCACATCCAATGGGAATATTTGTAAACTATGACCTTATGTATCTTTCTGTAGCAAGCTTAATTTGTATAAGGCATTTGTGTTTTGGCCTTTTGATACTAACATTTTGTTTCTCTATAATCTGAAATAATAACTGTCCTTATTATGTTAGCGGTGCTAATTGTTGATGGTTTATGGTGTTCCTCAACCAAATTTTCCATATTCCTTAGTTGGCCAAAGTCATTCAAACTAACCCCGAAGGACCATTTTTGATCATTCTGGATCCAGTCTTGCATTGAAAATTGGCTAGCATTGTGACAAGGGCATTGAAGTCACGAGGCTTCAACAATAAGATGTACCCTGACATTTATCTTTCTTGATGTTCATGTGAAAAGATGTTGTTGTAACGTTAATGACGGATGCCCCCTACCCTGCCTTATTTGTGCTTTGTGTATATACATCCAAACCTTCTGACTAGGAACGTATGGAGTTAGGTTACGAACATGAGTTGTTGATGACAGATGCTAGATTTTAAAGGGAGAGTCTATAGAAACAGAAGATTATATGAAGCAGTTACTATAAATATTTATAGGTCAAAGTTATTAATTGTGTTGCATAGAAATTTCAACTAGGGTGACGTGTCTGTATCTGACGCATCAAATATCGACACTAGGTCACTTTACCACATTCATTTTTCTTTCTTTATTAAAAATATTATATATTTTTAACTCAAATATATTATTGAATAACAAATATGTTATTTAAAAAAATTTAAAAAGAAGAATTAATAACAATTATAAAACT